ATGTTCATCTGTGCATGGTCGTCGCCTCCCGTCGGCTGGCGAGACGACCCTGGCTGATCGGCGGTAGGCGCACCCTGCTGGAGCCTTTTGAAGTAAGTACTGTAAGCCTGGCGCTGAGTATACTCCTGAGCTGTAGTCCGGTTCTTGATTAGGTCAGCCTGCTTAAGCTCCGCGAAGTTAATACAACGCATCTGAGTCGTGTCCTAAACCCCCATTTCACCAAATAATTTGTAAGGTTGTGGGGTTACTCCGAAGTGACGGGCGAGTGCCGTAATGAAATGACCAATGGCCGGTGCTCCACGCCGGTTGAGCGCAATTTCTTGCAAGGTGTTCTACAAGAACATCATGGAACACACTCGCACTCCCGCTCTCATCGCCCATAAGAGAAAAAGCTCGACCTCACTGACCTTGTTTGCCTCCTTCTTTCCGGAGATGTTGTAGCAGATGAACCGATGAACTACAGCAGTGGCCAGGTCCTGAATAAGCCCATTGGACATGCCGGCGGAGTCCCAAGTCGTATGCGGGGAGAGTTCGGCCCAACACTTGTGGGGGTCGAAGTCGATGGCCTTGCTACGCGTACCGGCAATGGTGAATCCGCAAACATTTTTCATGACGGCGTTGTCCACTGTAAAATCCTTCCCCTGAAGCCGACAAGTGAAATACTCGTTCCCATCAGCGAGAACAAATGAGCTGAAAAACTCAAGCATAAGGCCTCGATGCAATGTGTGCTCGATCTTGGCATTTTCGGTTAAGTTAAGAACCTTGAGGTATTTCATAACGTCCTCTAGAATACCCAAATCATTCAGAAGGTCCCAATCTACTGCTTTCGGCCTCACCACCTCCTTTTGCGAAAGACGGGCATAAATCTCGCCCTCTTTCCGCGAGTAAATCGGAAAGGGGGCATTGTATTGATCCGAAAGGTCATCCCGTTCACCTATCGGAGGTGCATCTCGGGAAGAGGATTCGCTCGCTTTTCGCTTTTTGGCCGGCTCTTGGGTGGTTTTCTTCTTAGTCGGACGGATCAGTGTCTTGCCCATTTGTAAAGGTCTCTCGGGCAATTTGACAAACACCTTGCGGGCGAGACCTTGAAGTAGAAGCTTGTAGCAAAACAATAATGGAAGAACCCAACTAGTACCTCCTCTTCCAATCTCAATATATCAACAATATCGCAAACAACATATATGCTTCAAAGCAATAGCAAAGAGGCCGATTACCGGAGGCTAAATGCTTGAAGCTCCTTGAACCGCAAAAGGTTGGCCCGGAGATGGAGGAAGAAGGGAGGAGTGGTCGGATTGTTGCTATTGATGGGCGGAGATGACGACGGCGTGGAGAATCGCGGGTGAGACGACGGAGAAGGCGGCGGGCAATGACGGTGCGACGACTAGGGTTCACGACTCTCACTCCTCCACCGATGAAAAATATCGTGCACGGCCCTTTGGAGGATAACCACGGCCAAGTGAGAAAGCTTGGTGAATAAATTCAAGAAATTCGATGCTTGGTGATGAATGAAGGGGATGATGGTGAATCGTCGGGTGTGTTTGACGTTTGGGAGCAGATGGAATGGCTGAGATTCTGTCTTAGGGCGCTTTAAAACGCGAGTCTCGCGGCCCGCGACTGTGCCCGGGTCGCGACTTGAGTCCGTCGTCGCGGGCAATTTTTCTTCACCGCGGGACGCGACTTTGCCCGCGGCCGCGAGGATTTGGAAGCAGAAGTTGGGGTGACGGGGCCTTTTGTCGTCGCGGCTGCGGCTAAGAAAATTTCCGCGGCCGCGACCTACCTCCGCGGGCCGCGACGTGACGTCGAGGCCGCGACCAAAGTTGTGCTGAAGCATGATACCTGTAGATGCTATTTGTTCGCCGCGGCCGCGGAGAAGAGAATGCCCGCAGGCCGCGGCGACTAATTAATTTTAATTTTTATATATATATATATATATATATAAAAATAAATGGAAGAAAATAAAACAAATATACAGCAGTACAAAAGGATACTCGTGATGTCTCGATCAAGCGTAGACTGGGTCGCCGAGACTGACAGTCTCGACATGCCGCTTTCCGAACTCTCCATCGAAATATGGTTTCAATCTCTGCCCGTTGACCACGAATAAGTCGCCATTAGCTGGATTACGAAGTCGGACAGCTCCGAAAGATAGCACCTCATCAATGATATACGGCCCACTCTAACGAGATTTTAGTTTTCCGGGAAATAGACGAAGGCGGGAGTTAAATAGAAGTACCTTCAAGCCTGGCTCAAGATTCTTACGGACAATAGTGGCATCGTGAAGCTTCTTCACTTTGTCCTTGTAAATCTTTGCGCTCTCGTAAGCCTCATTCCTCAACTCTTCGAGTTCCGAGAGCTGTAACATCCTCTCTCGTCCAGCTGCATCAAGGTCGAAATTCACCTTCTTGATTGCCCAAAACGCCTTGTGCTCAATCTCAACCGGTAGGTGGCACGATTTTCCATAGACTAGCCGAAAAGGGCTCATCCCCAAAACTCCTTTGTAAGCTGTCCTTTGGGCCCACAGTGCATCGTCAAGCCGACTCGACCAATCCTTCCTAGACGAATTCACTGTCTTCTCGAGAATAGTCTTAATCTGCTTGTTACTCGTTTCTGCCTGGCCCGATGTTTGAGGGTGATAAGGAGTGGCCACCCTATGAGAAATACCGTACTTCTTCATCAGCTTTTCAAAGACACAGTTGCAAAAATGCTTCCCTCCATCACTCACAATAGCCCGTGGAAAACAAAACCTGCTCAAAATATGTCCTCGCAAAAACTTGATAACCACATTAGCATCACATGTCCGTGTAGGGATGACCTCAACCCACTTGGACACGTAATCTACAGCAAGGAGAATATATTCAAAACCAAGAGATTTGGGAAATGGTCCCATAAAATCAATACCCCAAACATCAAAAATTTCCACTTGTAGATTGTTCACAAGGGGCATTTCATTCCTAGGACCAATATTCCCAAGTCGTTGGCATCTATCACAAGATTTGCAAAAACTATGAGCATCTCTAAAAAGAGTTGGCCAAAACAAACCTGATTGGAGGACTTTAAAGGCGGTCTTCCGACCTCCAAAATGTCCTCCACAATTGAGCTCGTGGCAAAACGCGAGAACATCCGATTGCTCTTCTTCGGGCACACACCTCCGAAGAATCTCGTCTTTTCCCATCTTAAAGAGGAATGGATCATCCCAGAAATAACTTCTGCACAACAAATCAAAACGCTTTCTCTCTTGGGAAGAGAGATCAGGCCGCAATTTTCCACAACACAAGTAATTCACAATGTCAGCGTACCAAGCACTTTTAGACACCGCATGCACATGCTCATAAGGAAAATCATCATTAATGGAATGGTGCATAATCAAAGAAGATGAGGATTCAGATGGTACTATGCGTGACAAGTGATCAGCAACTACATTTTCAGAACCTTTCCTATCCTTAATATCAACATCAAACTCTTGCAATAGTAAGATCCACCGGATGAGCCGTGGTTTAGAATGAGTTTTGCTCAAAAGGTACTTTAAAGCCGCATGGTCAGAGTGAATAATCACTTTAGATCCCAAAATATATGATCGAAATTTTTCAAGAGAAAAGACCACAGCTAGAAGTTCCTTCTCGGTGGTAGTGTAATTCTGCTGGGCCCCATTAAGAGTCAAGCTAGCATAATAAATCGCTCGAAGCAACTTATCAACTCGCTGACCCAAAACGGCGCCCACTGCAAGATTAGATGCATCACACATGATTTCAAAAGGAATAGACCAGTCAGGGGCAATCACAATAGGGGCACTCACAAGCTTGCTCTTTAATTCATTAAAAGCACACAAACAAGCATCATCAAAAACATATGGCACGTCTTGAGCAAGCAAATGACATAGAGGCTGACTAATTTTAGAAAAATCCTTAATGAAACGCCTATAGAACCCAGCATGCCCCAAGAAACTCCTAATCCCCTTAACATTCACGGGAGGGGGAAGTTGTTCAATAACATCTACTTTGGCCTTATCGACCTCAATCCCCCTACAAGAAACAATATGACCTAAGACAACTCCACTTCTAACCATAAAATGACTCTTTTCCCAACTCAAAGTCAAATTGGACTCAATACAACGTTCAAGGACACGAGATAAATTATGGAGACAATGAGAAAATGAATCACCAAAAATAGAGAAGTCATCCATAAATACCTGCAAGCAGTCCTCAAGCATATCCGAGAAAATAGAGAACATGCACCTCTGAAACGTACCCGGTGCATTGCAAAGGCCAAAGGGCATCCGTCTGAACGCGAAAGTACCAAAGGGGCACGTGAATGTCGTCTTGGGTTGATCCTCGGGTGCTATTGCCACTTGGTAGTAGCCGGAGAGCCCATCCAAAAAGCAGTAGAACTGGTGGCCCGATAGACGATCTAGGATCTGGTGAATGAACGGCAATGGAAAGTGGTCCTTCTTGGTCACGGCGTTCAGCCGCCTATAGTCAATGCACATACGCCACCCGGTAGTGATGCGGGTGGGGACCAACTCCTTCTTGTCGTTCTCGATCACGGTTATACCTCCCTTCTTCGGCACCACATGAATAGGACTGACCCACTCACTACTAGGCACCGGGTAGATCAATCCCTCAGAAAATAACTTAAGCACCTCTTTCTTCACTACCTCCATCATATTCGAGTTCAGTCGTCGCTGGCTATCCCGAAAAGGCTTGGCTCCGTCCTCCAAGATAATCCGGTGCATACAAGTAGAGGGACTAATCCCCTTGATGTCTCCTAGACTCCACCCGATTGCCTTCTGGTACTTTCTGAGCAAGGATATCAGCTCCTCCTCTTCCTCACTGTCAAGCTCAGCATAGATGATCACCGGCTTCTGATGGGAATCATCCAAGAAAACATACTTAAGGTGCTTTGGCAGCTCCTTAAGCTCGAGTGTGGTCTCACCTCGGGTATGACCTTCTCCTACTTCAAAAAGTTCCACTATAGGCTCTTCCTCTTCCTCAAAAGCCGGCAACAAGACGTCTTCGAACTCCTGAAATACCATCTCATCCACAAAAGGGTCAGCAATATCAATAAAAGCACATTCTTCTATAAAATTGACAGAAGATGAAGACATGGCCCCTCGGACGGAAATAGACACCGACTCCCCCAGAACAGTCATATTCAAAGTACCATTCTTCACATCAATGAGGGTATTAGTTTTCGCCATGAAAGGTCTCCCGAGAAGGATGGTGTGATCCTTCCCATTCTCGTGCACATCCCCGACGTCGAGCACAACGAAGTCCACTGGAATAATAAGCTTTCCCACCTTCACGAGAACATCCTCGACTACTCCCTTGGGATACCTGATGGAACGGTCTGCTAACTGAAGGCACATGCGAGTTGGCCTCAAATCCCCAAGGTCAAGCCTTTGAAAAATCGAGAAGGGCATGAGATTGATTCCGGCTCCGAGGTCTAGCATCCCCGAAGCTACCTTCCCGTTCCCCAAAGCTATCTGGATAATAAAACCACCGGGGTCACGTTCTTTCTTGGGCAAATCGTGCTGCATTGCGCTTGCAGCCTCATACACGACCACCTTCTCTCCATCTTCGAACTTCCTCTTCTTGGTCACCAAGTCCTTGAAGAACTTACCATAAGACGGCATATTCTTAATCACATCGAGGAGCGGCAAGTTGACATTCACCTTGGAGAGCATGCTGAAAAGATCTCGGAACTGTTTCTCTTGCTTCTCGTTCCTAAGGCGGTCCGGAAAAGGAATGCGCGGCTTGTATGGATTCGTCGACTTATGTAGCACCGGCTCGTCTGTCGCCTTCCCGGACTCTGTTTCCTTGATCTTTTCTGGATGAGTCTCCTGATCTTCAGGCTCGGGCATCTGCACTTTGTTGTCCACTTCCTTCCCGCTCCTGAGCACAGTGATAGCTTTAGCTTGCTCTGGCTGACTTGGCAACTTCCCCTTGTTCATCTCGGTCTCAATGGTCCCAACTCTGGCGGCTAGTTGCCCTAACTGTGTCTCTATGCGCTTGATGGAGGCATCCTGATTGACATCCCTCTGCTCACGGTTGGCCATAAGCTGAAGGATTTTGGCAACGTCGTCTTGGAGGTTCGAGTTCGACCCCGCTTCCGGTCCCCTCTGCTGCTGCTGTGGCTGCTGTGGCTGGAAGTTCGGCCGGGGCACAAAGCTGGGTCGAGGTTGTTGCTGCATGAAGTTCGGACGGGGTGGCTGAAGGGTGTTGGAGTTGTTTGACCACGAAAAGTGCGGGTGGTTCCGCCATCCTGGATTGTACGTGTTGGAATATGGGTCATTGACCGGCCGATTCTGGTATCCTTGTAAGGCACTGGCATCCGCATACTGCTCACTAGGGTCCTGCTCGAAAGATGAGGGGCCCTGGGACTCCACACGCCCCACAAGTATCAACAGCGAATGTATTAACCAGCTGAGACCCTCGTGCGGTAAGCAACCTCATCTGCTCAGTAAGCTCAGCTAGTTGTTGGGCCACCGCATCATTGCTTGTACCGACCTCGTTCACTACTGCCCTCTTGCCTCGCGTGCTCTTCTAGGACGAGTTCGTACTCATCGTCTCAAAAATCTCAAACATCTCCTCGGCTGTCCTTGCTTCGATATCACCTCCCGCCGCGTTGTTGACCATATACTACAAGTTCTGGTGGAGGGAATCATAGAAGCAGTTCATGAGTAGCCCCGGAGAGAGGTTGTGATGGGGGCACTGCCGTTGGAGATCCTTGAACCGCTCCCAAGCCTCATGAAGAGACTCGTTCGGTAATTGAGCAAACGAGACGATCTGTGACCGGAGCTCTTGAGTCTTCTGATGGGAGTAATACCTCCCAATGAACTTCGAGTACACCTCGGTCCATGTAGTGAGAGAGCCAGGTGCAAGTGTCATGAACCAGGCCTTTGGCCCGGTCTTTTAGAGTCTCGGGAAAACACCTCAGCTTCAACTGCTCGTCATTAAGGTCATTGAGAGGGAAAGTGTTGAGGACATTGTAAAATTCCCGGATGAAGTTGAGTGGATCCTCGCTTGGAAGCCCGTGGAATGCCGGCAACTGATTGTAATGAATCATTTTAAGCTCGTAGTTCCGTGCAGCGTCCGGCAAACGGATGCATGAAGTGACTGGCCCGATAACCGGCTGGGCCAAAGTTCGAAGGGTGTTACGGGGAGCTTGTTGTTGTCGTTCACCCATATCGAGGTTTCTGCCTTCGGATGATTTAGGAGAATGTTCGTCTTCCCCGTGCGATTCCAGAGTAAGCTCTTCCAGCAGCTCCCTCAGGCTCTCGTTGACAGATTTGTTGATTGGAGATAGCAGTTTGCGTCCACTCCTGGTACGCATACACAAAGACAAGAAACCGTCACGAGCACCAGATAAACAAAGAAGAAAACCTAAGAAAAACAAGAACCAAAAATCAAGAACTAATAAACTAGTAAAATAAAATGAAGAGAAACACTAAAAACAAATGAATAGGCGCACCAAAATAATCCTAAACCTTCCCCGGCAACGGCGCCAATTTGCTGTGAGTATTTTTTACCGGAGTAGAATCGAAAGATTCGACACCGGGTCGTATCGCAAGGAAGGTTAGCCGGATTATTAAGCACGTTTACTCAACACAATTAAAAGGAATAAAAGAAATGAAATTCCTAAACATACTAAATCAAATAATTGGATGGGTTTTTAGTTATCAACTATTGCAAATAATTAAATAAAGCAGAGAAAGTAGTAGGCAATGACGAAGAACAATTATGATAAAGGCGCTAGGGTATCGGGGATTTCGCTTCCGGTTCTCAATGCATTTAGCAAGCAATGAATTACTCGGCTAAAGGACTCAATAAACTAACTCATCCAGAGATTCATTCTCAATATCTCACGAAACAAGAGAATAAACATAAACAAATCATTAACGAGTCAATTAACACATAGACAATACGATACCGAACAAGCCTATTCTTAACGAGCCTAGATCGAACAATTTATCCCCTTTCGGTTTCTAAATTGATTAATTAGATTAAGATGGAGATCAAGCATCTAAACCCTAGGTTAAGCACAACTCGGAAAGATGAGCAATTACCAAGTATTAAAACGAAATCGAACCGGACCGATAATCCCCTACCCCTAGCTAATGAATTTAGCTACTCATCATGCATTCAACATCAACATATTCAATAATCAAAGCCATCTCAATCGAAAGGAAAACGAAGGTAAAGCTTACGATTAACGAATACAATGTCGAGAACAAGAGAAAAACCAAATCCAAGAGTCGAATCTCTAAGTTTTCACTCTCAAGATTGATCTCTAAGAGAACAAACGAAAAATATAGGTTCTGGAACTTATTTTGTACGAGAAAGAACAAAACCTAACATAGAACATAATGAAAAATGACCCCAAAATCTGACTTAAAAATTCTGTAAGTCGCGGCCTTCGCGGGCCGCGGGGCATCTCGCGGGCCGCGGCGAAGAAGCTTCCGCGGCCGCGACCAAGTCCGAGGCCGCGGGAAAGTCTGGTCTGAAGTGCTGTTCGCCTGCGACATTTTGTTCGCCGCAGCCGCGGTGAAGGAAATGTCGCGGGCCGCGGCGAGTAAAACTGGACAATGCAATTTTGTTCTCCGCGACCTCGGAATTGGTCGCGGGACGCGATGAAGGCTGTTTTCTGGCAAGGTGACGGTTTGGCCTCGTACGCACGCATTCGGATACGGAATCGAATTCCGTCTTTTCCTACTCGACCCCAACTCGTCCGCCTATATTGTAGTCCTCACATGGTCATTCAACGAGCAACTCGTCCTGTAAATCACCACCGACAAGAAACGCACGGAAAAACCGGAGAAAAAAAACAAAAAGACCAAAAACGAACAAAACAAAGGAAATGCAAGACGAGACTCAAAATGGACCAAAAGCCAAAAAGAAATACCTAGAATGGGGAAAAATAAACATAAAATAAACACGAAAACACTAACAAAAATGGAACGAACAACGTCCCTTACATATAGCTTTTAATATACCATCCGCACGGCATCCTTTCTTTCAAAATATCCCCAAACCTCATAAGTTTCCTTTAGAATAGCTTAAGATGTCTCAGTAATTCCATTCTCATTGTCATCATTCACATTAATGCATTTATTCAAAAAGAAGAATCCATTATGATTTCAAAACCTCCAAAAGAAAAAAGAGAAAAACAAATCAAAATCAAATCATCATTCATCATTCATCAAGTTCGTATCTCAATTCATAATCACAACATTGATTCAATTCACAGTCACCCAATCACATTACATACAATTTACAATCACTGAGCTCCCATTCAAAGCAAGTTGTTCTTTAAAAAATTTGGGCATAGAATCATTGATACTCGCATTATCCAGTGTCAATGAAAATATTTTATCCTCAATCCCCCAATCCTTCAAACATTCAAGTACTTTAGAAAGTAATTCAACCCAGAATGTGGAGGATGCATGGCATCAAACGAAAGTATTTTACTATTTAGGTTTCAGTTCTCATCATCATAATGCGCAGTCAAGCAAATATAACCTTCACTAGTGCATGTAGTCCACACGTCAGAACTTAAGCAAATTCTACTTTCAAGACTAGTCAAAACTTGCTTAAGCTTCGTTTTTTCCGTCGTATACATTTTTGTAATGTCGGAAACAAGAGAATTTCTAGAAACAACAGGAACATTAGGGTTTATATAAGACATCCAAGCCCTAATGCCATCAATTCGACAAACGAAAATGGTATATCTGCTTAATTGCAACAGCAGCTAACAAGTCTCATGAAGTTTTGGGACATTTCTTTCTAGATTGAAGTTTTCCTTCATTATCAACAAATATTTGACCAACATCATTATATTTTATGATTTTTCAAGCTTGCATGTGGCGCCTTAAAGTAAAAGTCTCATATCTTTTACCCCCACACTTATACTCTTTTTTACGTCGCTTACATATAGCTTTTAATATACCATCCGCACGGCATCCTTTCTTTCAAAATATCGCCAAACCTCATAAGTTTTCTTTACGTTAGCTTCAGACGTCTCAGACATTCCATTCTCATTATCATCATTCACATTAATTAATGCATTTATTCAAAGAAGAAGGATCCATTATGATTTCAACACCTCCAACAGAAAATAGAGAAAAAAAATCAAAATCGAATCATCATTCATCATTCATCAAGTTCATCATTCAATTCACAATCACAACATTGATTCAATTCACAGTCACCTAATCACATTCAATTCAGAATCATTGTACAATGTTCATTGACAAATATTGAAATACACACCATACAATATATAGAACAAAGATTCAAAGAGGTTCAACCATCATTACTCTTTACCAAAATGGAGTTGCCTTGTCGTTGTCGATGCCGCTCGGAGACATTGCTACTGCCCGCCTTGCCACTCGAGTCCAACTCTTGAAGGTCTCGTCGCCCGCCACTCGAGTCGAGGTCCCGCCCCTCGAGTCGAGGTCCCGTCCCTCGAGTCAAAGCCTCGAAGGTCTCGCCAGTTGCTGTTGCCGCCGCTCAAAGGTCGCCGCACGTCGGGAGGTTGAGAGCGTCAAAGTATGAGATGAGAGAAGAGAGTTTTAGGGTTACTGTTTACAGAGTTTACGTCTGACTCTCTGTGACTGTTTTTAATTGTAAGGAGAAAAATATGATTAATAAAAAAAACTATTAAAAATTGAGAGATTAAAAAATGAAAACTAACTTTTTTTTAAGTAATGGCGGGCTGACCCGTAGCCCGCCATAACCTACTGCCCGCGTAGACCTACCCGTTTAGGCGGGCCTATAAAATACCAACCCAACTCGTCTGTTCTGCGGAGCGGTGCTGGCCGGCCCGTGGACCGAAACCCGTTTGACATGTCTACCATTAATCCACCGGTGAATATATGACCGGAAGACGCACCCAAGTACATATCATTCCCCCGAGTTGCAACATTCGCACTCACACCGCAAAAAAAA